AAGGTATTTAAAGAAGGATTATATGTAGAATTTCAAGGTGTTCTTTCGTGGTAGAGCCGTGCAAGTCGTAATTCTTTGGAAGTTGTTTACAACATTCCACGATGTCTGGTGTTTCTCAAACCCCTCCATTTCCTCCACCTGAAGGTAAAGTAGAAGTACTGTGTTACACTTCTTGTCTCGGACAGCTAACGGTTTAAACGATGAAAGAGCCTGAGATTATATGGATCAGAATAACCCCATCCTTCGATTCGCAAAATCTTGGGACAGCTCCTGCGAGCCAATCATATTCAAAGCTAGCCAAACATTCAAAGCTGTTAGCTGTCTGAGATATTAATCAGCCTTCTTGACTCTGAAAATTGTTATAAAAACAGTGGCGAGAGAGAGTTAAATGTTCAATGAAACTGGACAAATCCATTTTCTTCAAGGTGTCAGGGGTTCATTAGTAGGCTGATTTAGCAACAGGACGGGATGTCAGATGACGACTGCAGGGCGTGTGGAAAAACCTGGATTCTGTTCTTATCTGACCATATTTGGGTGTTTGTTCTGCACGTGCCATTGTCAAGTGACGTTCCCGTTCTCTTGCTAAATCTACCTAATGTTTTCACCAGGAAGGCAACTGGTTTACACAGGCAGGGCAAACAGAAAAAAAAGCTTTCCTCTTGATGGTCAAATGAAGTGGGCAAAATCATCCTCACAGCAGGCCAATTTGCCGGGTAGTTTATATTTATCTTTGTAATTTTACAATGGAATAAATAAATCAAATGAAATGAAATGAAATAGTTCACTGCCTGTCACACACGCTGGTATACAGGGCAGCAACAAAGGACTTCCACAGCTGTCTGTCTCCAGCCAGCTTTTGGATGGAGCTCCAGCTGTGACCCAAGCCCTTTATCTCACCATGTCCTCACAGCAGGCCAATTTGCATGGTGCCTGGTCCTTTATGAAACCCCTGAGGTGTAGTGTCAATCGTCATTTTAATTTCAGACAAAATTCAAACTGGCTTCCTACTCTGTCACTGTGTCCCATAAAGTGTGGGGATTTTATTTTGAATAAAAGGTAAAGTCAAAAAAATTCAACTTTTTTTGATACTTTGATCTCAAGGGAGCAGGAATAGCTGAATATTAGTTAATTACTTGCCTCCTGCTAATGTGGCCCATGTATGATTTTAACATGAAATAATGTAGATTGAGTTTGTCCTTGTTTCTTTTATTGGTACAAGTGTTTTTCTTTTAGTTCAGCAGCTTACCTCCCTACTTAAAATCCAGGTCCAGGATATTTGAAAGGTGGATAATGCTCTCCATGAGGTCCCAGTTGTTCAAAGGCTGGATAACGCTATTCACCAGATAAATCATTATCCAGTGGATTAGTGTTAACAAAACAAACCACACTATAATCTTGATAGTGATTTATCGGGTGGATAGTGTTATCCACCTATCTAACAACCTGGGCCAGATAAATCACTAATCACCGGTGGATAGTGTGGATTGTTTTGTTAACGCTTATCCCCTGGACTGGGCTAGAACTTCTAAATTCCATTTGATTTTGGCATTTCAGGACTATGAATGTGACTGTTACAAGTTTTACCCAAATTAAACTAGACTGATTGTTGACTGATTTAATATTAATCTATTTGAATCTAGATCAAGATCAGAAGAATATCATTGACAAGCTTGCAAACTTTGTTGCCAGAAATGGCAGCAAATTTGAGGAGATGACCAAGGAGAAACAGAAAGGAAA